CTTCAACTGCATGATATCATCAGACACCTCCCCCAAAGTCTCCCCATTCATTTGAAGGCATCCACAGGACTCTATGATCTAAATTCCAATTTTGGAAGGAAACAAAGTATGCTTTAGGACAGAGGTGTTCTTGGAAACGAAGTATGTGGCAATTTGTTTATTACCATAATTCAGTCTCCCCTTGATTTTTATGATAATAGCACAATGTGTTTTGAGGAGTCGCGGACGGTGGGGTTTGGCTGGAAGGCACCAAATGTGTCATGCATTTCATGTACTCCAGCCATCTGCACATCTGGTCATGGAGCGGAACGTGTGCTGGGTGGCACGCTGATTTGGGGGACACGGTAAAATATGACACCCTTTCTGTCTTAAAGAAGTTGAACATTTAATCAAAGGAGAGCGTCCAATGAAAGCATAAAAATAAAAAAGTTAAGGGGTCAGGCAGTATATGATTAAAGTAAAAAAGCATTAAACTAAATATTGGTGACTTTTGCTTCCTATTTGCTTTTTGAAATAAGAACAAAAAAGGAAACCATGCAGACATACATTGACTCCAGATCTCACTCTGGCCTCACTGATCATCCTGTTCACAAGGAAATGGAGACTCGGCCGATAACGGAGACGTCGGTGAAGTGCTCTCCAGGCCCTCGTCTGACACGTCGCGTGCAGCATGTACTTCAGTCACGACGCATCATCACCCCCACAGGCAAGCGCTATCCTTTTCTCCGTTCCACAGCGGAGGAAACTGCAGCTTAGCTGAGTGACGTGAGGAACGCCGGTAAGAAATAAAGCACACAAAGACCCACTTGGCTCCCGAAGTCAGAACTGTGTTCATTGTATCATGCAACCCCTTACACTTACCCTTACTTCCCTTGGTTCCTGAGGCAGTTGGCAATAGCTACTCTGTCCATCCACTTCTCCATCCAACAGCTTACCCGGTTCCCAACAGGTGCCAGGTGCTGTGCTTAGCTCAGAGGACACAGTCATACTCCCTAACTCCAAGTACCCAAGTCCAGAGGGAGACATGGAAAAGCACTAAATAAATGAGTGACCAAGTGAACGAATGAATGAATGCCAACATTTCCATTTTATATTTATGTGAGCTGTCTTCCAGCCCGGACACATTTGTAGCGCTGGTCTCTTTGAGTGCCAGAATTCCTGTTTCTAAGTGCATCCCCAAACTTTTAGCTATTTTTATTACCATCTATAAAATAGCTGGGATCTAATTTCCACCATCTGCCCTTTTATTGAACGTGTTCAGTGCTTCGTCATTGCCTCACAAATGACTGAACATACAAGAAAACCCACCAAATCCAGGGAGTCACTTTGCTGATGATTTATTGCTTTAAGGAAAAAGCTATAAACAGGAAATTGGAGCAATGAAAATGCTTCACATTGAACAAACACGTTTACACAACACAAATCATGAGAAAAATGAGGAATGTTGTAAAACAAGACAGATTGCCCAAGGGCTATTTTCCTTCTGTTGGGAAATTCCAAGACATTTTTTTGTATGCATTTTTATTTTAGTCACTTACAAAAGTGGCTGGAGGAATACTTAAATATTAAGTCACAGTTTGAAAATAGATATATACATATATACACACACACATACGCACGTATGAGTGCAGAGGCACACAACCGATCCATTTTGACCATTCGTGGGTCCCAGCTCTGCAGGGTTATCATTGCAGTTACTTTGGATCAAGCTAAGTCCTTCAAAAGCAATGACCTAATTCAATATAATAGTCACAGACCACATTGCTTCCCCGCAATCCCTATGTAGACATAGCACACTGCTAATGCGATTGTAGACAATTATGTCATCTGAGTCTACTTCCATTGATTGCCCTCTGAATCAGCTTCAGAGTTAAAATTGCAGCTTTTGTCAGTCAAGCATCTCTTGTACCTTATAGTGTGGGGTGGCTGGCTCACTGGGCTTTGTGTCAGGAGAGGTGGCTCAGGCACCAGACTAACCTTGGTTTGCAACGGTGGTCTGTAGTGCAATAGCTGGTGGGACAGTGAGCAAGGGCCCGGGCCTCAGCTGCCTTCTCTCTGAAATGGGGATATGATAACGATGCCCCCTCGTAAATAAGATATGGCAGTAAGCACCGGGCACAGGCCTGGTATGCAGTGACCATTCAGCAAGTGCTTGTGATAACGTACAGCAAGAACGAGGGAGTTGGCAAATTCAGTTCTCTCTCCCTCTCCCACATCTAAGCGCTCCAGAGAAGTCCACTCTAGGCAAGGATGTGAATTCATCAAAGGTCCACTGATCTTTGGTGTATCCTTCCCTTGGCCAAGAGCATGGGGCTATAGGGGCTGGAGAAGCCATGTGTCTGATGGACTTGATTTCCTTTGCTACTGTGACCCTCTGACCGGGGTCATTCACGCTCTGCCTGGAGGCCCTTACCACCCGCCCCTCCTTCCCCAAGGACAAGACAGAGTGGAAGGAGCTGAGATTTGGGCTTCAGCTTTTGGGGGGCTGTTATTCTTTTCCTGAAGTAGGTCATACCTATACAGGGTACTTCCGACTGCTCTCTTATTGGGCCCAAACCTCTGTCCCCACGTGAATCTGAGACCTACCCAACTGGGGCCTGCCGAGGACGTTCCGTTTCTCAAAACAAACACTACCTGGGGCATTCGGCCACCCCACCCCTTCCCGCATATTCCCAGGATAATCCCCAGCCCCTCCCACCGAGGCTGTATATGATCCTGGAAGCTATGCTTAGTTTCCCAGACTGGGGTATCGATTTGGTGAGAACCTAGCTCTTGGGTTTCTGCTGAATTCCAAATGGGATTAGCTGTCATCTCGCCCTTGTCATTTACGGACAGCTGGTGATTTCATCCTCAGAAAATCCAACACGGCCCACACAGACTTACAGGGGAGATTATTCATGGGGTAAATTCTTTTCACGATTTTTTTTTTTTTTTAGTAAAATATACCTTTCTTGAAATATTTAAATGCCTCTTTTCCTACGACACATAAAGTAAGATGCAGCTGATAAAAACTGAGATTGTCATATACCTTTGCAAGAGGAGAGCTTCTGATTACATGTGGGAACACTCACCGCATTGCTTTTATTCATCAAATCCATAGTGTGCACCACTGTACGCCTTGCATTGGGCTAGGCATTCAGGAGGCCACAGTATGGAGAACACATTCTGGTTCTCTTTTCCCATTTACGGATCCCTGTGCGCACCACACAGAATTCCCTTCGCTGCATGTCATACAACATGCAGCGCTGGGTACACAAAACCATCTTTTCAGGGCGGGGTGAGCACAGGCGTTGACCTGAAGGAGGGGACTACGTGGCATTCGGGGATTCTGGTCTACCCCGTATGTGTCTGGACACTCGGGCACCTGAATGCTCTGAACGTCAGATTCTCTTCGCTTGTAAAAGGGCCTAGAGAGACAGTAAAAAAGGGCGAAAAATGACAGTAGGAAGTAGCTTATTTTGACCTGTTTCCTTGCTCAGAAGCGTTTGGAAGCTCTAAAATTAAGGAAGTACTATGGGTTATGAAGTCAGGACAGCTGGGATCGGAATCCGGACTCTTCCTCTTACCAGCTGGGTGACTTTGGCCCAATTGGCTTACCTTTCTGAGCTCCCATTTCACGTTTGTAAGAACAGAAATAACAATGGGCACTTTTCAGCACGATCCCGAAGCGTCTGTGAGCTAGTGTACGGAAAGCAGTGAGAACACGGCGCATAGAGGGTCCTGCATAAAGGAACGATAGCAGTAAATACTTACAATTTACTAATGAAATAAATACTTGCCTCATCCGCACTAGCATCAACCCTCTCTCCTTGTCAGCCTCAGGCCCTTCAGCTTTTAATCCCTGTTAAATAGGCTTCCGTTTCTACACAAGTAACCTGCTGTCTTCACACCAGAACTGGGCCACGCGGGTCAGCAGACCCCAAGTCTGTAAAATGGGCCACTGAGGCAGAAGGAGATGTTGCCTCCTGGGCTCAGTGACGCCTGCCACCCAGGCCGATGCAGACGGGACTCGCTTCTTGGTTTGACCCCCACCCAGCCTGGAGCTCTCGGTCACTTGAGGAAGGTCTGGCCTGGACTTTGGTCGAGGCTCCTTCAGGGCAGAAAAGTGTCCCAGGACCCCACTGTCAGGGGTCAGAGAGGCTACCCCAGGGGCTCCCATAACCCCCCAAGCTGGGCGAGGATCTGGATCTGAGGAAGAGTCTGGCCATCCCTGGCATCCTGGTGGTCAGCAGCAGATTCGCACTAGGGTCCTCGCTCCTTCTGACAACTGGCTGGCCTTGCTCTGCCCCGGGAGTATCGACTGGGGACCTTTCCCGTGAACAAGAATGAAATGTCTCAAACTGCATTTCTAACTGAAATGAACCCACGTACGCTTCACAGCGCAGGAGTGAAGAGAAACCTAACCTCAGAGATGCCTGGATGAACAGACAGTTTTCCATGAAAGATCAAAACCAAATAGCCATTCACCTCACTTGGCAAATGTTGGGTGACTTTGAGGTGCTTTGGTGCGTTGCGGTCAGAGTCGGGCCTATCTGTTATAGCGCCTCTCGGCGGGCCCAGTAATAGACTGTTCCGTCGAACTAGAGCCCACCTATCCTTTGAAGGGATCCAAAGAGTCTCGTGGTTAGTATCTCAAAAGGGAATTAGTGATATCGAACGTGCAGCTGACTCTGTCCCTTGGGACTCAGGATTCCTCCTCCCCCCCCCCCCCGCCCGTGACTTGCACAGGCCGGGTCAGGCCTCTGTGGTGTGGTCCGGAACAGGCCTGCACAGCTTGTGGAGTGTGCACAGAACACCGCCACGGGTGAGACCCCCTGCCCGGGCCTGAGCGGCAGGATAGCGGGTCCTCGGGGGGGTCAGAGATGGAAAAGGGGCTGCGGGTCTGGGCCGGGGTCATGAGAAGTAAGTGGGACGTGGACGAGAGGAGCTTGGCGGTGGGCCTCAGGGGGCTGGCTGCTTTGCAAGCATGGCCAGGCCCAAGCCTCGTGTTCTGTGCCCGCCTAGTTGGCGATTTCTGAGAAGTCAGGGTAGGAGTCCAAGTCCTCAAAGATGTCGTTGGGGTTCCTGCAGCTCAGGTTGCAGAAGCAGGCGTTAATCCATAGCATCTGGCGGGAGAAGCCAGGCCCGTCGGGGCACTGGAAGGAGACGCTGATGGTCTTGGACTTGTAGGGGATGCAGCATCTGTTGTCCGTGCAGACCCCACAGTACTTGGGCCTGTAGACGCGTGTGCTGGTGCAGCCGGCGAGGGTGAAGTTCATGGGCGCCTCTGGCTGGTATACAGCCAGACACTTCTTCCCTTCCTGCAGGAAGGGAGGCGTCAGTTGGGGTGCTCCGAGGATGAACAGCCTCCTTCTGCCCTCCAAGCCCTCAACTTCCCCCTACACTCACCACGTGGGAACAAGCCACCTTACTTTGAGGCCTGCAGCATCTTTAAGCTAGGAAGGCCTCCCATGACACAGCAAGACCCAGCCGTGTTCCGCGGGAGTAAACTGAGGACCACCGGCAGGGCGGGCTCTGCTCGCTCAGGCCCTGCCTCACAGTCTGCAGTTCCCCTTCTTTCCTCCATTTCTGTCTGGCTGCTGCCCTGTCCCTGGTCACAGTTTCACAGGGCACCTTGGCGGCTCTTTCAATCAACCGAACGCCCCCAGCTTGTTCGTGGAGGAAACATCAGGGGACTGGGGGTGGGTGGCAGATCCAGGTATACGCGGCCTTAGGCTCATACAATTTAAGGAAACAAAATTGGTGGTGAAGGTGGGGGTTGGGGGTGTCAAAGGGACTTGAATGAGCTTTGTGGTAAACCCCCGTCTACCTCAAGGGCACCGTGCATTTGCTGAGCTTGGGACCTTTGCTCCTGTGTCCCCTGCGGCGGCTGACTGTTCCATTCATGCTTTCATGATGAGGTGTCTGCTGGGTACCTGCTGCCCGCCAAGCACCAAGAACGCAAGGGCTAAGTGGGGCGGGGAAAATAACCAGGGAGGAAGGAGGGAGAAGAGGAGAAGCAAGAGAAGGAGGAGGTGGAGGGTCCAGAGGACTGACATAGGGACACCTGCAGTGGGGGACAGGAGACAGGGAGGAATCGTAGGCGGCTGGGCTGTTAGGTCTACCCTATCCCCAAGAAATGATCAGTGTTGAATTTTTTCTTCTAAGTGGCACCAGGCATATGAACAGTCCCAAGGCACAAGCGAGGAGGAGGACTTGAATTAGGGTCGTCAGAAGCATTTCTGAGCCTGAGGACAGGGGTGCCGTCTGCTGTGTTCCACTATGGTCCTCGATCATTTATTTTAATTATGTTCCACCCCCAAAGCTGGAAGGGGTGCGAGATCAACAATATCTGAGATCAACTCCAATATTTTATTGATGGGGAGCCTGGGGCTCAGAGATGTGAGGAGATGGCCCCTGGCACGTGCAGTCAGCAGCAGACAGGCGTTTGGCCCCGGGGGTCCCTGGCCCCATGTAGTGCTCCCCCGTCCCCTGGCGTGGCTGTCCTGTGGTGCCCAGGGACAGTTGGCACCGGAGCAGAGAGGGTGGCGGTCAATGAGGGTCCCTCAGAATCATCCCAGGAGAGCTTCTGGAGGCTCCTGGGTTCTCTCTGGAGCAACCTTGATTCTGATAGTATGCTCACTACAATCCCTTCCATTGGGTGGAACGCACAATGCACCAGCCCGGTGAGACGCGTTTCCCCCGTAGCTCTGGGGAGGTGGGCTTATTTATCCCCATTTTACGACGTCCCCGCGAGAAAGTTCAGGAGCCAGGCTCAAAGCCAAGGGTTTCTGCGAGGTCCGACACACCTGCCCCTCTCCCCCACCCCCTCACCCTCCACCCTGGGGTGGGGGGCGGACTCACCTTGATGCGGGGCCGGAGGTCCACGTCACAGGGCCGCAGGTTGCAGAGGCGGCTCTCCTGCTCGGGCCAGCAGCGGGCGTTGGCGCTGGAGACCCGCGTGGAGATGCCCAGGCCACAGCTGGTGGAGCAGGGGCTCCAGAGGCTCGTGTAGGCTATGCAGTTCCGGTGCCAGGGCTCGAGCTCGCCCGCGGCCGCTGCGGGTAGGGGCCAGGTTCCCCGTGAGTCCCCAGCTTCCGCCACCCCCCAGTGCCCCCATCACCACCCTAAGGGCTGGGTCCCTGAAACTCAGCGAGGGGAGAGGCGGCAAGCTGGCTTCTATCTCGTCACAGGTCTCCAGGGAGAGAAGGACTCGTTCTGAGTGCCTTACGCTTTTCCAGAGGGAAGACCATCTTTAGAGACGGGGGACCTGAGTTCAAATCCTGCTCGACCACCTATCAGCCTTGCGATCCCAGACAACGCTGCCCTCTGTCTCCGCATTGGAACAATGACACCTGCCTCGTGGGGCTGGTATGGCCATAAACGGAATCTAGATACTGATTGAGTATGTGTCAGGCACCCACTTGGTGCCGGGCATAAAAGGTTACAGGACACTGTTCCTGCCCCCGCAGAGATTACGTTTATTTGGGGAAAGGCCAAAGGTGGGTGGCTATGTCCAAGGACCCGGCATTTCGTCCGGGCGATGCTGAGGGCACAGTGGTCAAGGGGAGACACAGGCTTCAGGGTCGAACTGTGCGGGTTGAATTCTGAGCACAGCTACCTGACAGGGGGTTGGCCGTAGCCTCTCCCTCCCAGGGCTGGAAAAGATCAGTGGACACATGTGACAGCACCCAAGCTGTCCCTGGCCCTTAGTAGGCCCTCAGTAAGCGTGAGCTCGCGTGGCTTCTTGACCATCGGTCAACAAACACCAACTCTCGGATGGCACTGTTAATGTTTCTGTCCTGCCGTCTAGAACGTGGTGAGTGCTCACTGGTCCTCAGAGGAACGGAAGATGGAGAGAGCAGGGGATGGAGGCGGCAGGAAAGCGGGGAGACAAAGGAGAGATCCCACAGGAAGACAGAATGAGGTGTGCAGGAGACAGACCCGAAGAGGAAGCCAGTCTCAGTCTGTGAAGGGACAAGACGAGAGAAAGGAACGGGCAGAGGGAAGAGGGGAAGGCAGGTGGAGAGAGAGTGTGGGGAGCGGAGGGGAGAGGGAGAGAAAGGTGATACGAATGGGGGGAGAGGGACACGAATAGGAAGAAGGCATCTAATAGGATGAGGAGGAGAAAGAGAAAGGGGAAGTTCTCCACGGCCAGACCCTCCAGGCTAACAGGTGTGCAGGGAAGGTGGACGGAAGAACAGGGGATGGGGGAGGGAGAGAAGAGGGGAGGGGAGGTGGGAGAGACAGAGGGAAGAAAGCAGAGGCCTCTGCAGACAGAGGAGGGCTGGTCTGGGTGGGCAGCGCTGTCAGTATGTGGGGGAGGCAGGCGGGGGAGGGTTTGCCTGGGAGGATAAAAGGGCTTTGGTTTCTGGGACACCCGCCAGGCTCTGCCTGTGCTCGGTCAGAACAGGGTCACTGGGCCACACACGGCAGGCAGACAGCCGCTGCCCTGGTTCCCTGTGGCCATCGGTGACTCTGCCAGGGGTTCGTGCTGAGACGGCTGCTGCCCTGGGCTTGCCAGGGACCCAGCTTTTCCTGTCACCTCCTTCATGGGGCTGCCTCAGCCCCGTGGGGCAACCCAAGCCCCACCCAGAGAGGCTATGCCATCCTGAACCAAGGCAGGGGTGGGGTGGGGTGCGGTGGGCTGGGGGAACCGCTGTCCCTCCTGGTCCAGCCAGACCCACCCTGGTGTGCCCCCCGCTTTCCTGCTTTCCTGGTCTCCAGTTCGCACTGTTCTGAAACACTTCCTTCACTTGGCTTCTGCAAAGCCCCTTTCTGTTTCCAACCTGCCTCTTGGATTTGTCTTTCTCAGCTTCCCTCTCTGCGTCTCCTTAAATGGTGGTGTCCTGGAGGTTCTGCAGAGGGCCACTCTGTCCCCCAGGACGCAAGAAGCAGCGTCTGCAGGGACTTCGGTCGTGACTACTTGCATGGCAGGTGCGACTGGCATCCTGCGGGTAGGGGTCAGGGATGCTCTTACACAGCGCACAGCGCACAGGGCAGCAGCCCCACCGCAGAGAGTTATCTGGTCCGAGCGGCGTCAGGACTGCAGTGAGGAGCCCTTCTCTACAGGATATCTGAGCAATGTCACGCATTTCTCATTTAAAGACATTACCAGGAACCTCAGGACATCCAGACTCTATGCCATGCCTTCACTTCTTCATGTCTACTTTCCTTCTAGAAACAACCTCATCTGCTGTCTGCCGTGTCATCAGATACTCCTGGCTTTCCTCCTACTCCCCTTCTCTGTCTCCTCCTTGCCTCCTCTTCTACTGTCCACCCCTCAAATGTCAGCTCCAGGCCTCTGGCCAAGGCCCTGCTGTCTCAGCTGACACCTTGTCCCTACGCCGTCCCACCAACTTCAGCAGCTCCAGCGGGAGACCCCCAGAGCTCTCCCTGCCCATCTCCTTCCTCCGCTCCGCCCCTGCTGGATGCTCCTCGGGACCACGCCACTGGCGGGGTGCCCAGCCCCGGCCTCCACCTGTCTCTCACAAGGCGCTCTTCCCCTTCCCAGACACAGCCCTCCTCTGGGATTATGTCCTAGGTCAAGACCAGCCCCAGGAGCCAGCCTCTGCTGCTCTCTCCACACTCTGGGTTGATGCCAAGGCCTGCAGCCTCACTCACACAGTGCCCCTCGACCTGCCCCTCTTTTATCACCTCTACTCCCACTGCCCACGTTCATGTCTCCATTTGTCCATCCATCCATCCATTTATCCATCCATTTGTCCATCCATCCATCCATCCATCCATCCATCTACCCATCTGTCCATTTCATCCTCACCCATGTTCTATTTGTCCATCCATCCATCTATCCATCCATCCATTTATCCATCCATTTGTCCATCCATCCATCCATCCATCCATCCATCCATCCATCCACCCATCTGTCCATTCATCCATCCACTCACCCATTTGTCTGCCTGTCCATTTGTCCATCCATCCATCCATCCATCCATCCATTTATCCATCCATTTGTCCATCCATCCATCCATTTATCCATCCATCCATCCATCCATCCATCCATCCATCCACCCATCTGTCCATTCATCCATCCACTCACCCATTTTTCTACCTGCCCATTTGTCCATCCATCCATCTATCCATCCATCCATCCATTTAACCATCTATCCGTCCATCCGTCCGTCCATCCACCCGGCCCCCCCCCACCCCCCACTACGGCAAGCACTGATCAGTACCTGCTGAGTGTCTGGCATTGGCTAGGCTCCAGTAAACTGTGGTGAAACAAGCAGGCCTGCCCCTGTCCTCCCTTTGCAGGGCTTCCTGTGACCTGGCTCTCCTGGCTGCAGCCTCCCCTGTTCCCAGCCTCCACGGTGAGGGAGGCCATCTCCCGCTCTCCTGCCCTAGCCCCTGCGGCTAGTGCCTCTCCTCCCCAGGCACCCACCCGGCCCTCCTCCTCCTCCTCCTTCTCCGCATCCCCCACCATTCAATCTCTTAGGGAGGATAATACTGGATCACACGTGCCTTCCTCATTTTATGCTCAGAGGGTCCCCCTCGGCAGGCAGGACAGAGGCTGTCATGCCCATCTTGCCCAATGGGAAACAGGGGCCAGAGGAAAGGGGACTCTCCCAGGGCCACTCATGAAGGAGGACTGGGAACTGGACTCCAGGCTTTATGCCTACCACAGCCAGGCAGCCAGAGCTCCAGGAGGTCCGCCCCCGCCCCGCCCCGCCCCCAGGGCCGCGCGCAGCACCCACCGAGGGCTCCCGCGTGGCGCGGCGCTGTCTTGCGCAGCCTCCTGGCGTCATCGTCGCACACCCACTGCTCACAGCAGCGGCCGGGCAAGCTGACCCGCCGGGGGTGGCGGCACCAGAGGCGCGGCGGGCGCACGCGGAGGCACAGCGGCGTGCAGCCCACCGCGCCGTCCACGCATGTGCAGTTGAACTTGCAGTTGGGCTGGAAGGACTGGCCGTTGCTGTAGCGAACCCCGTCCAGGACGCAGCCCACGCCGACCACCTCTGCGAACACAGCACGACCGGTCAGGCCCGGTGCCCCGGCCAGGGCAGCCTTCCACCGGGAGTCCGCCGCCTGGGGGCCCCGGGGCGGGGGAGGGGAGACAGCGAAGGCAGGGCCCGCCAGCCATGGGGAGCTGGTGGGACTTGAGCGGAGGGAGAGCGGGAGTCCCTTTAGAGCTTCAGCTGCTGCTCATTCAGTAACACCTGGTGCGAACCTAAGTGGATCTTACATCACCCGCCAGAGGCCCAGGCGCCCAGCTCCCTGTCCTGTCCTGAGCACAAGGCACAAAGCCTGGTACTGACAGAGAGCTGTCCCTGGGGTCAGGGCTCTGAGCAGGGCGGACATGGAAAACCAATCAACACTCGGAAACAAAGATTCCATTCATTCCCAGCAGATCGCTGGTGTGTTGAAGATTCAGTAGTAAACACAGCAGACAAAAGCCACACCCTCACAGAGCTCCCATTGTGGTGGGGGTGACAGAGGAAGACAAACTCATTATCTGGAATGTTGATGGGGACCCGTGCCAGGGAGAACAGTGAAGCGGTGGGGGGAGGGGCACTGGGAGCAGGGCAGCTGCAGAGGTGAATAAGGTGAGCAGGCAGGGCCTCACCGGTGGGAAGGAGGTGAGGGGGCCAGGTACTGGGGGAGAAGCCTTCCTGAGGTGGAGAAGGCCTGGGACGTGGGGCGGAGATGAGGGGCGGGGGGGCTTCCTTGTAGGCTCAGAGGAAGGTGTGGAGTTCCTGGAACCTGACACACAGCAGGCGTCCCCAGGTGACTGTGGACTCAGTGATATGATTATACTTGTCGGTAACAGTGTGGCCGAGCTGAGAATGGACGGAGGGTAACATCAAGGGCAGTGTCCGGAGGCCTCCGCAGCAACCCAGGCGGGAGGTGGCGGAGCCTGGACCGAGGAGGGACCAGAAGCCACGGGGAGAAGGGCTCAGCCTCTGGATACATTTGAAGGGAAGAGTTGCCAGGGCTTGCTGACCAATGGGACGTGAGGAGAGGAGAGGGCTCACGAAGGACTCTTAGTTCTGCGACCTGAGCCCTGGACTCAGTTCTTCACGGGACACAAGACGCCGGGTTGACATCCAAGTGGCTGTGCAGAGTTGGCTGCGGAAGCCCGGAGTTCCAGGAGGGGTCTGGGGCTGCTGGGCTCCCTCCCTTGATGGCGTGCCCTGCTTTGGGGACAGTGTGAGGACGTGCAGGCAGAGAGCCCAGGCAGCAAAGATCCCCACCCCTGGGGACTCGTTTGGAATCCACAGTCTGCCAAGAGCTCCACCTTATCTCCTGCATGTGCCCGCAGATGGTTGTTCGTAGCAGCACCCAGTACCTCCCAGGAGTGCAGGCTTGCCTCACGCTGCCTGGCCTTGGTCCCCTGCCCTACTCTGTGTGCATTTGCTTGCATTGCTGAGTTCACCTATGAGGAAATGCTACCGCATTACCACCCGAGTCTCATCAAGGTTAAGTGCCAGACACAGAATCCTAGCCTGTCGGGGACGCGGATGTGACTGCTGTTTGTCCTCTTGCCGATGTGGGGGGTGACCGTGTGCAAACGAGGTGCAGAAAGGAAAGGCGCTAACACTTCCTGACCACCCAGTCTGGGGCCAGGCACCATCTGATACGGTCTCGCAGTTGTTTCTCCCAATGACTGCACAAGGAGAGCTTATTTTCTTCGTTTGGCTGGCAGGGAGGTCAAGGGATTTATTAGCTGAAGGTGGCCCAACAGGCGAGTGATAGAACTGCACCTCACACCCTGGGGTCTCAATCCACAATCCATTGCCACAGCCAGACAATGGTAACAGAGGGGAAATGGGGGGGGGGGAAGCACTGGGTGAATTACTCATGTTTGTGTTGCATCACCCCAACTGCACCCTCTTGCTCCAGGAAGGTGTGTGCGTGTGTGTATACCCACGGATGTGTGTGCGTTTTGGAGGAGGTGGGGGGACAAGGGTGAAGCAGAAGCCCAGATCTCTGCCCTGTGTGCAGGGACTTCGGGTGGAGGAGGCAGGGGCTGGGGAGCCCTCAGCTCAGGGCTTCTCAGCAGCAGCCGCTCAGCGGCCGCACCGGGATGCTCTCTCAAATTCTGATGGCCCCGCCATGCCCAGAATACGGAGGCAGACCTGGGGCTCCGTGTCTTTATTTTTTGGCCTTGGTATTTTTTTAAAAGCTTCCCAGGTGAATTCACTTTGCAACTAAGACTGAGAACCATAGTTGCTAGAAGCAGCTCACAGTGTCCTGGGAGGCCCGGGGCAGTGGTGCTGGTGGCCCTGACTCGCCTGCCACTGCAGGCTAGAGGGCGGCCATCGGTGGCCTCCAGTGCCGCTGCTCCATTCACTCCCTAACTGATGGGAGGGCCAGCTGGGTGAAGCTGGACGAGTTTCCTTCACCGCCTCCTATCTAATCTCCGACTTGCAAGTGCGGGCACAGCCTGGAGAGCTTTCCTCTCACTGAAGGACTTCCAGGAACTCAGGTGACCCTGCTCTGCCTTCAGGCCTTCCCTCCCCTCCCCTACACCCCTAAAGGGCTGTCAGCTGCGTGGGAGCAGTGATAGCGGGTCAGGCCTTGTTGGAACCCCGTCATTGTATCACTGCATGAATGCATCTGTGGGTGGATGGACGGATGACGGATAGATGGATGGATGATGGATGGATGGGTGGGAGGCGGGGGGAGCCCCGATCTTTGCATTGGGTTGCTACTATGGATCAGGCACTTGACATCTCAAACACCTAAAGAGATAGGCATTATGTGTCACTTTTCCTTGGAAAGTGACCCTTAAAAGGTTAGGTAGCTTAGTTAGCTGGTTAGTGAGTCAGTTAGTTGCCCTTAGTTATGGTGCCAGGACTGGAACTCAGGTTGCCTGGTTCCAAAGACCATGCGTAGAGTATTGTCTCCTCCCTCACTCTCCACGCTGGGGCATCTGGGCCTCGAACTGGACCTGCCCCCTCTCAGGATGACCTCAGACAGGGGTGAGAAGCCCTCGACAGGGGGCAGTTAAAACAAAGCAACACAACCGTGAGCACGGGACCGATCCCATCTGAGGCTTGAAGGCGTTCCCTTGCTGATTTGCAACAACCACACGAGGTTGGTTTGATCCAGCTCCTTAAGTGATGTGCCCAAGGTCACGTAGCCAGCAAGCGCCAGCGCCAGGATTCAAACCCAAGCCTGCCCGCCTGCCCAGGGCACGGCCCCGGCAGACCACACTGCCCCAGGCCTGCCCCAGCGGCGAAGAAGGCAGAGTGGTGTCTGTGTGCCAGAAATAGCCAAACAGGAGAATTCAGAGGCCGCTCTCTGCCCACAGAAGTGTTTAGTTTGGCTCACAGCATATTTTAAGAATCTTTTTTTGACCACGTTGCCAACATGTACAAATTATACCCAAATCTGGATTTTTGGATTTTCTTGAAAACCGAGCAGAATGGCCAAGACCACGCTCGCTTTCCTGCCTGGCCGGCGTGCCTGGCGCCCAGGACCGGCCACCTGACAGCCCAGGCTTGCGCACGCCACTTGGCCATAGCCCCCGCCATTCTCCCTTTGAGCTCTCTGTCCCAGTGCTGCGAATGCTTATTTTTATTACCTGCCTTGTCCTCAGCTCGTTACGGGCCCCTCTCCAAGGACAGAGTTAACTTGTCTGGGAACCATCCTTTGGTTGAGTTGACCACTGGGTGAATTTTTCTGTTTAGAGGAACTCTTCCTTCTCTTTCTCCTCTGGTCCCCAGGTGTCTTCCTCCCTAAAACTGGCAGACCCTGGACTCCTCTTTCCTGAACGAGGGTCTCACAAACTCAGACACTGTGTCAGTGTTTCTGGAAAGATGTTCAGTAGAATACTAGTGAGTTGTGTGTGTGTGTGCGTTTGTGTGTACACACATATGTATGAAATGTGTGTATGAGTGTGTGTATGTGTATGGTGGGGGTGGGTGGGTCAAAATCTACCTGGACAAAAGCGTTCACCGTGCAAATAAGCTTGAAAAGACAAGGCTTCTTATGATAGCCCCCTCTTTGGAATTTGACAATGGACATGAACATTAAAATCTCTGAGAAGTTCTGTAACATTTGTTTAACTTTACTTATTCCAATGTCTGCAAACCTAGATGACCAGGGGATCTTTGGCAAGTATGATACCTATGAAACTCCCCCTATAGACCATGGTTTTCCTTCCAAATGAAAGGAAGGAAACACAGAGGCTCGTGGTGAGGGGAGCTGAGAGGCTGTCGTGGGTAAAGCAGGGCCTGAGATATAGAGAGCTGGGCGGGGTGGGAAGGCGGTTTCCCAGGCCCTGGGTGGGGCGGCGGTCGGGGCCTGCACAGTCTCTGAGTCCAGGAGAGAATGTCTACAAAGGCGTGGTGCCTGGCACATGGTAAAATGTCAATACAACTTTAGAGATTGGTATAGTCACAGCGAACTGAATGGCCTTTCCAACGCCCTTGAAGAACAGCTGTGAAAGGGGGAAGAAGTGATGACACAGCGTCCTACACCTGGAGGGGACTCTGGTGCCAGGAGGCTGAGCTGAGTTCCTGACCTGGGTTTGGGACAGAGTCTATGGCTGGCTGTATGCAGGAGCGCCCCACCCCTTACCTGCAGTTCTGCTCCCCACGGTTCCAGTTACCCGTGATCAACCATGGTCGGAAAATATTCAGTGGAATATTCCAGAAGTTAACAGTTCACAAGTTTTGAACTGCAGGCTGTTCTGAATAATGTGATAAAATCCCATGCCATCCTGGTCTGTCCCAATGGGAACATGAGTTGCCCTTTGTCCAGCATGTCCACGCTGCAGATGCCCCATCTCTTAGTCCCTGAGCAGCTGTCTCAGGTGTCAGATCAACTCTCATGGTGTCACAGGGCTTGTGTTCAAGTCACCCTTATTTTCCTTTGTAACACCACGTTCACTTAACATGTATTACATGCAGTACATCGCTATGATTTTTCTACTTATTATTGGTTATTATTATTGACCTCTGTGTCTAATTTATATATTCTACTCTATCATAGTAGATTTAAAAAGGTAGATGTATGTTAGCTGTCAGCCTCACACTTGAACGTACACAAGGGTCACCTGGGAATCTTGTTGAAGATGTGGCTTCTAGCCCCACTTCCGGAAGTGTGGTGGGCTCAGGAATGACACTTTTAACCAGCCCATCAGGTGATTCTGGGCGGGTAGTGCTGTAAGTCCCATTTGAACACAGTGGACTGGGGGGCTGGTGCTGAGTCTGAATACAAGGAATAAAAGAAGAAGGGAGTATCACCAGGGGTTCCTGGCACAGCTACAGAGAGATGACTTGGTATGAAAGTGGAGGCTTGAACCAATGATAAAAGAGCAGGAAATGCTCAAGAATTAACCACGAGGCTCAGGGGGGATCGTCTGACTTGGAACTGCATACGTAACTCATCAACAACCCCTCTCAGGAGATACAGTGGGTTAGCTGAGAATGAGAGACAACGTTGCATGCAAATACGTAACAGGGTATACACAGAGACAGAGTTACGGCGAGGGCTTGATTCAGCACCAAAGGTAAAAAGAGGTTCTTGGGTTTACGAGGCTTCGTGGAACTTTCCAGAAGTCAGGCTGCTTTGTCATGATGCCTGGTTGCCTCCCTGTATCATGCCGGGTCATGCATCACAGGTAAATGCTTAGATGATTCAGGCCAAATGAATTCCAGTTGGATAGAAGCAGGAGATCAGAAAGTCCCAGAAAGGAGGTCTTTGGGAACCAAAAAGGGCCTGGTGTAGCCCTTAAAGAGAAAAAAGAGAATACCAACAGCCTCCCTTACATGAGGATATTATAAAGACCAAGAGGAGAAAAAAAGAAAAAAAAGCAAAGGCAGATAGAAACTCCAGGGAAAACATAAAGGCTTCATCAGAAAGGAAATTCAAACAAGTGCACTGTCTCATGCTGTAGTAAACAGCATTTACATACTCATAACAGCATAAATTGTGATTACTGCATAAACAAAAATATGACAACAACATTGGAATACAGAGAGGTGTCAAGGGGTACTGAGGGGCTAAGTCATTAGTTCATTAGCTATCATATAAGATCATTGATAGATATTTAAGCTAATCAAGATATAACAACTGATGTTTATTATGTAGTCATAACCATATACCAGAAGAAAGGATTAAAATGTTAAAACCGACTGTCGTAACTGAATGTGGGTGGGAGGTAGGAAGAAATAATTTCAGGCTTTTATTCTTTCAAGACTATGGAATTTTTGAAGCGTATATTATTTTAATTTACAACGTCACTAAACTAGCTGGAGCTTGGCAGGGCCCAGTGGTCCTGGGAGGCCACGGGCATCCAGCAAGGGGTCCTACCCCTAAGGGAATGAAGGAAACCAGGCCGAGCCTTTCCCAGAAGCTCCTTCTCCCCCAGCATCTGCCGCGGATGTGCCCCCAGGTCGGAGAAGAGAGCGGGACACCGGGTTCCGGAGACAAGAGGAATGCGGGCATCTCCCCTCGTCCGGTAGGGCCCGGCCTCTGGCCCCTGATGAAGGATGGGGGTGGGGGGCACCTCCTCAGAGCAGGAGCCTGGCCGCAGGAGGCCCCAGTGAGGGGCCCTGGGCCGGAGCTGGGGACGCAGGGGGGTGGCCGGGAGGGAGAGAAGGTGTCACTTACGTGCACACACTCCTATTGCGTACCTCGGGCGGTCCCCGCTGTAGTCGCAGTAGAGGCCCCGGTGGGGGTCACAGGTGGCCGCCTCTGTGCAGTTGTCCCCGAGCTGCTGGGCGCACACCTTACAGCATTCGCAGCCGTCGGTGATGAGGCTGACGCCCAGCGGGCAGCGGGGTGGGGACGGCGGACACTCACATGGCCACTTGCAGAATTGGGGGCGTGAAGTCGTGTCCTCCGGGGGTGCCGGGGCGAAGGCCATGGCCGTGGGGGCTGGAGAGAGGGCCTGTGGGGGGAATGGCAGAGGTGAAGGGGGGCTGCCGGGCAGGGGCCAGAGGCCAGGGGCCTGCCATCTTGGTGTTCAAAAGGTTTACATAAAATTATATTTTTCCAGCACGCTTTTGATCATTGAACATCTCCCTTCTCCTCAACAGAAAGAGTAAGGCCGAGAACCCAGAGTGCAGAGACGTGAAGCCAGTTGCCTGCATCCCCCTGCTGGTGCGCAGTGGGCCCAGATTCTGCACCAGACCTCCAGCCATGCGAAGCCCCGTGCCTGTCCCCTTCCCTACCCCTCATCCTTCACCCCACGGGTAAGCGGGTCCGGGTCCGCCGCGTTTGACAGATGTGGGAGCTGAGGCCCTGTGTACTCCACAAAGGGTCCTTACGAAGAGCTCCCAGAGCCTCAGGTCTCAGATTGGACACCTGGGTTCAGCCAGCTGACTTATTATTACTATTATTATTACGGTATTTGCTCTCTGAGCACCAGGAAAGGGCTGCATGCACAGGGACTTCAAGCTGCCTCTCCCTCTGGGATCCAGTCACCTTCCCCCAGCCCCCCAAACCACCACCCAGACCCCTTACTCTTTACACGGGAGACCCGGGCTCAGGAGGAGGAGAGCTGGCCGTGCGCAGAGTGGGGCTGCGGCCAGACACCAGCCGTCCAGGCCTGCGTGGTCCCTGCGGGTAGCACCCAGTCCGGACGTCTCACCGGTGACTCCAGAGCTCTAAGGGCAGCCGAGGCTGCCCGGGACTTCCGTGGGGGCGAACGTGGGACCCAGGCCACCCCCTCCATCTCAAAAGGGAAGAGCCCTGCCCTGTGGAATTTGTAGACCTGCATTTCATTCTTTGAACAACAGGTGGCGAGATATCCAGACAGATTCTTCCTTTGCTAAGGAGGAAACTGAGACCCAAAGCTGCAGAGAGACAGGTCCAGGGCAACATGGCCCATGTCTGGACTGTGGCACAAATGACCCCCTCAGCCCTCCCTTCTACCTCCTCCGCCTCCCTTGGGCCCTTTCAGCCACTCAGCGAATGCTTGTGTAGCTCGCTCTGAGTCTGCCTTAAGTTTCAGGCATTTGAAGAGAAACTGGAAAACTTCCTGTGCCTGTGTAACCCGCAGCTTATAGGAAAGACAGCCAGGGAGGGGATTTATCACAATGTGAGGCTGCGTGCGGCAGGCCGGGCCTCCAAGGGCGCCCCCCCCGCCCGCCCAGTGCCACCTTGCCCTGAAAGGTGGTCCCAGTTGAGATGCCGATTAGCTGGACTTTTGGTTCTGAGTCTGGTGCATCGTCAGTGCAGTAAATGCCACTTTGACCATGGAAAGGCCTCCGAAAGTCAAAAAGGCAAGCCTCACTTGTAGGTTTTGTCCCCTCCAGGCTCGGTCTCAGGCAGGTTTGCTGGCGGAGCAAACGGCCCCAGGACCGGCAGTGCTCGTCCGTGTTCACCTGGGAGGCAGGTGTTTGCCTGCCCTCATTCACTTTTCCCCAAAAGCACCACATGACTGCAAACCCCGAAATCATTCAAAGCAACCACGCACACGCACGTGCACGCTTCTTTCTGACTCTACAGGGAGACAAGGCTTCCGTGCCTTCCACAGGCCACGTTAGATGTGCCGCCTCCTGCACTGGAGGATGGGGAGCGGCATCCTCCGCCTCTGCCCAGGAGACAGCGTGAGACCCGAGACAGAAGTGGCTCTCTCGGTTGGCCTCGGACAAGCCTCCTAACCGTTCTGGGCCTCAGTGCCCCCATCGGTGACGTGGCCACGGGAATGCCCCGCCAGCAGCTGCTGGGGGCTGAGGGACACCGTGTGTGCAGAGCACTCGTGCAGGGTCTGGCGTGTGGCAGACACTCAAAGGCGTGACTCCTCCTCCCCACCTCATCCCCACAGTGCCCCCCCAAAGCACTTGGGCCCTGGACACTTTGAGCTGAGCCGGTGAGCTGTAACCTGGTGGGACCTCTCTCCACATGGTCGCTGTCCAGCTTGCTGTCTCCATACCACGCTCAAGGTCCCCCGCAGGCAGCGGCAGAGGAGGCCCCTGGGCAGGGGGAAGTGGCTGTGTGTGCCCTGGCCCTGCGGAGGGATGGGCTCGCAGCCCTCTGAGCCAGGCCCTTGCCGCTGGCACCACCTAGTGGTGTGAAACCTCCAGATTCACACACACGCTCACGCACGCGTGCACACACACAGGATGGCATGGCTGTCCACCGGCCCTTTGCCCTGGAACATGGACCATTGTCATAAGAATACGGACTCTCCCTTTCCAACCTAAAAGGAGCAGGAGAAGCGTCTAGGCCCAAGAACAAAGATAAGAGGCACCCAGGCCTCTGTGCATTGACTCCTTTGAGAAGTGACCCAGACCCCAGTCCCAGCACGCTTGCCCTTCTGCACCTGGAGGCCAGCCATCGGCACGGCTGTCTTCAGCCCTGCTGTGGAGCCTGTCCACTGCCGGGGGTGCAATGTGCTGTTGCAGCACATACCTGTGCTGATCTTGAACGGACGGTCTGGGGCCTTTGTGGGGTGTGTCTCTGGTCGTCACTCCAGAGCCCCACGCTGGGCCTGAGGAAACATCTAGAGCCTCGTATCAGAGCTGAAGCTCTGCAGATCACCCCTTGACATCACCCTGGCTCTGCTACCTGACCGGGCTGCTTTTAGGGTCCCCCATGCCCCGGCCTGTGAACAGCACAGCCCCCTGACTCGCCGCCCTCTGCCACGCCCTCGGCTCTGGTGGACCATGAGATCACATCTCTTGTGATTCTCTATTTTCAGCCACAAGCAGTAAACCTGTCTTGTTTTATGGGCAAAAACCATTAAGCATGAATCTCATGCAGGTAGGTGGTAACATAGGAAGATCTGGAGGAAGCTCTGTGTCACCTGCAGCCATAGACGAGGTGGCGAGTGCCCCAAGACCTCCTGAAGCTCTTATCAGCCTCCTGCGTTCTTTGAAGTAGAGCCTGCCTAGCTTTCCCAGGCCCAGACGGGAGCAGGCTGCAAAGCCGGGGCCCTCCCCCGACGGCCCCGATTGCTGTCCTTTCATCCTCGGCCAGCTGCCCAGCCGGGGCTGGCTGTGCCCACTGTACAGATGGAGAAACTGACCGAGGCCAACCCAGTGCCACACGGAGCCTGCGTTGTTTTCATCTAACAGCGGATGTGAAGAGGGACATACGGTGGAAACAAAGAGAATGCTGTCTCAGAAAGGCCAGAGAGAAAGCCCAGCCTTGGACCCATCCAAGTTGCAGCTGGTCACATAAAATTCTCTTTAACGATGTGCTGCTGGAATGGACTTTCTGCAGATGCCACGTGCTTACAGGGAAGACAGGAAGGAGGAGGCAATGCCTATATGTGTCCCCACAAGGCAGAGCGCCCAGTGCTCGCTCAGTCACATCCTGTCCCTGTTGGGTTCCGCTTGCTCAGCACCGAGCACACCAACCTCACCCACCGGTCCGGTCCTCCCTCCCAACAACTGAGCCCTGCTCAAACCGAATCCCTTCCCTGACGGTTCCCAAACGCTGCCGCGTGCTCTAAGCACCTGGAATCTTTAATAAACACCGATGCCTGGACATGGTCACCCCCCTGCCCCCTGACACCCTGACTTAGGTGGGGTAGGCGGGAGCCCGGCACTGAGATTTTTCCAGGGGGTTCAGAATGCATCCAGGATTGAGAACTTCCCACAAAGTCCTGTGGACCTTGTTAAAATGCAGATCCCTGGGCCCCACCTTGACTATGTGGCTTCCGTTCTACGAGGCGGGGCCCAGAATCTCTGTTTTGGCCTGACTTCTGGTGATTCTGGTGGGATGGGGACCATTCCCCAGGGCTGGGTGGGGGAGGGAAAGCGTGGGGACAGCAGGCCAGCTCCCTCTGTTAACCTGTGACTTGTGTGCCTCTACCCTGCCTGTGCTGCTCACTCCTTTCCACACACCAGTTCATGAAGAGCACACGCCCTCGGTGCCGACGCGGGGCTCGCCGCCACTTCGTAGGTGGGCCTTGTGCAGTTACCTGAACCTGATGTGCTTTGCCCTTGATGTTCCATTGAAATGACGGAAAGATGGAAAGAGAAAGGAGCGTAAGTGTCTGCTAAGGCCTGAGTGTTTGTGCTCCTCCCCAATTGACACTGAAATCCCATCTCTGAAGGGGGTGGCACTAGGAGGCGGGGCCTAGGAGGGGGGTTGGTCATAAGGGTGGAGCCCCCACGAATGGGATTAGTGCCCTCACCCCTCCCACCCTGGGAGGACCCACGGGAGATGTCAGCGATGGACCAGGAAGAGAGGCCCTCACCAGATGGCGACCATGCGGGCACCCTGACCTTGGACTTCCAGCCTCCAGAGCTGTGGGAAATAAACTTCTGTTGTTTATCGGCCATCCGGTCAGCGGTATTTTGTTACAAATAGACTATGGTATTGCCACCAAATAGACTACAACCGAGTCAGACACTTAACCCTCTACACAAGGAGGGGAATCAGGGGGCAGGTTGAAGTGACGAGTTGACCACCTTTATCATACTTACTGGATAAACTGAAGCAGATTACAACTGGGAAGGGAAACAGTTGAGCCTCTGCAGGAAGGGCTGCAGGTGCATTTTGAGACAATGTTCAAAGGTGAGCAGACGCTGTGGATTTTATGGTGTGTCCTGACTCTGAAAATGGGTCTGGGAACAGGTCAGTCTATAATTTGACTTTGATGCGTCAGTTTTACTTCATTTTCACAAAAATGCATGGCTGTGGGCAAGGGAGCAGAAAGTGGGGGGCTGGCGGCGGTGGGTGGGGCCCGCAGGGGACCTGAGCCGGGTCCCCGAGCAGGTTCCCCGTGGGTGAAGGAGGTGGGCGCGCCCGCTGCTGAGAGCCTGCGTGCCGCACCGGAGAAATAGCCTCTAGAGGGAAGCGCGAGGGCATGACTTCTGAGCGAGGGGAGCCCCTCTCCCCAGCCCGCTGTTGCTCCCAGCTTGGTGGCCGGCGCCCACGCTCCCCTCTCTGCACTTCTGTTTCCTCCTTTGTAAAACAGGGATGAGGACAGCA